GTCTTTCAGATCAATGGATATAAACCAATTGTTTCTCTGGATGTTGTCCAACAGTTGTCTGGTTGTCAACATGTGAAACGGTCTGTCCACGATCGCCTTATTGAAAAATTGACAGGTCCAAAATGGGTCTCTTTCCTCCGGTCCGTTTTGGAGCCAGAAAGTAACGTGAGAAAAAACCTGTGTTTTCCTCTCCGTCGGGAACTCTGGAAATTACCTCTTTTACCAGAAGTTCCTGGACTTCTGCATTTAGGGATGAGACCTGGTCTGGTGATGACAGAACCGTCTCTGAAACTCCTCCGAACGGAGGGGGTCTAGCTGCGAATTGTGCGTATAACCCTTGTTATCAGATTGGCCATCCATCTGTCTGGCAAGCATGTTCGATGCCACTCCGTGCGACGTTCGTGGAGTGGGCGTGCGTTTAGGTGGTGCGTCATGTTTCTTACGGACGTCAGCCAGTCTACAGCCTTGATCGCCGTCATGCGCCGCAGAAGTGTGGTTCGCGTGACCCAAGGCGAGGCTTTCTCGAAAGGGCTTCTGGGTGCGCCTCTGTGCCACACTCAGACTGCGGGTTCACATTCATGTTGATGTGAACCGGCGTGTGTTGAGGAGAGGCATGCGCACCTTCATCCACGCGGTGCTGTTTGGGTGAAAGCTGCCGGCGCGCGCGTTTGACACCGCTGCTTGCATTTAACAAAAAAACGAAGTCCAGATGACATGATTCAACCTTTTTTGTTGTTTTTAAATAAAGCTTGTTCTTGATTTACCAATATTCAAAATGTAACAACAGATTACATTCTTCATCCCAAATAAAGTGACATCATGTGAGTGTGAAAGACAAAAACACATTTAAAAGACAAATCCAATCAACTTTTTTTACATTCACAGAAAAAAATAGTTGAATAAATCAGGCTCAGATTAAAATCTGAATTATTTTGGGACTAAATTAATGTTTGCAGATGATTGTGGAGTTTGTAGATGTGAATCAGGCATGGGAAATAAATCTGCCTGTGGAGAAACACTTATTGTGTAGAGAACAATAATAATAACACAAACTTATTGTGTTCTGTTCTGAAATAATAAATACATGGGGTTACAGATTCTACAAATGCATCCATAAATTACATTTACAAGCTCAGAAATCATCGGAGAACATTAAATTCAAAGCTTTTTAAATCCAAAAATTATGACGTGTCTTTTAACAACTAATTAACCTAATTCACTTTTACTATAAGGCTTTATTATTCAACTCTTTATTATCACCAAATGTGGGAATAAAATCTATTTCTTTTTAAAATGCTCAATGTTTTAGTCTTCTGGGTAACTTGAACAGTCCACTTCTTTGGTTCTGACTGGTTTCCTGCAGACTTTAAAAGTCCTGTCAGGACTGAGGAATGCTTTTACAATATGTCATTTTCAAAAATC